CTCCCTTTAAATAAATACTTTTAAATTATATATTTTCTCATTGAAAATCATTTATGGTATTGCAGTATTTAATCAGGCGTGTGGGGGGTGTTGGGTGTGGGGGGTGGATGAGTCAGTGTGCGTAGGTTTTTTTTTTTTTTGGGGTGGGTAGCACGTTCGCCTCACAACAAGAAGGTCGCTGGTTCAAGCACCAGCTGGGTCAGTTGGCATTTCTGTGTGGAGTTTGCATGTTTTTCCCGTGTTCGTGTGTGTTTTCTCCAGGTGCTCAGTTTTCCCTTACAAGTCCAAAGACATGCGGTATAGGTGAATTGGGTAAGCTAAAATTGTCCGTAGTGTACAATTTTACAATTTTTTTGTACGAAACTGTGTGTGAATGGGTGTGTTTGAATGTTTCCCAGTGATGGGTTGCAGCCGGAAGGGCTGAAAAGAAAATGAATGAATAAGCTCATTTGTCCTATTTTGACTGCTAAACCATCATAAATAGTGAAAGTAACCCATCAAAAAGGATTTAAGACAAAGCAGAATCCTCTGTTGGATGTTGCTTTGGTGTAACTTCAGCTAATTAGTTTTGGCCAATGCTAACACATATTTTTCATGAGTCCAGCATCCAGCTCTGCAAGAAAACACAATCTGATGTAAGATATGTCATTATTCGCTGTATTGAATTTTTTTAAATAAAGAATACATTTTACAAGTAACTTTTATTCTAAATCTTGGACCTTGTTGTTTTTGAAACAAAATATGAAAAATAAAAAGGTGTAAAGCACCAAAAGAGACCATATTTTAATTAATTTGAATACTAATTTGAGTATTGTTATTCATGAATTCTCAAATATACTTTTTTTTAACAAGAGAGGCTAGAAAATTGTGAAGCTCTACATTATATTATTATTATTATTATTATTATTATTATGCTATATTTTTTTTTATTTAAACAGCCAAAAGATTTGCCTAATGACAATTTGAAATTCAATGAAATTTGACTATGATGACCATCTGACAAGCTAACTCAGCTAAAAAATAGTGCTTAAAATGTCACTAAAATGCAATATTTAACCCTCATAATTAAATAGGAAATGAAGCATATAACTGCAAAAAGGTCCACTTTTTGAGAAAAAAACCCCACCTCTATCACCAGGCTGGCTACGGCCCTGCATTTAGATAGAGTGTGTTATATAATAATATATTACACTGAAAAAAAAATCCTGAAAAACAAGATTAAGTAAATTTATTTTCACGAGAGCACACTTCAGGTAATTTTGATTTATTTAAAGTACAACCCATTTATTAGTCAGCAAAGTCCATTTAAATAGATCTGAGCATTTTGCATTTCCTCATCACTGAAGCAAAACCCTCAAAGCTTACAAATTAACAGCAAAGGACACCACTCACCAACATCCTGTGCAAACATGCTTTGAAACCTAAACTGCTGTCTTTAGGCTCATCAGATGACAACAATAGTGTGATAAAGTGTTAGTTTGTCTCACAGCAGACTAGTCACACAGGAAACCAGTGGGCAGACAGACTTGTACATTGCTCCAGCTTTGGTTAGGACTTCCTGTCGCTGGATGAAGCACTTCCTGTTTTAGTTCCAGCTGTTGAAAGCATCTCTGTGTTAGTTACTGTCTTGTCGACTGCTGAAAAATAGAGCAATTGCACTTTCACTACATTTGGGTTATATTTTCTTCAATATTCCTTAAAGATTGTGTTCAAATAACAGAAAATATATAAATATGTGGGTCTTTGATGTCCCGTTTTGGTTTTATTAAATGAAAATGTACAAAATTAATTTTATCTACATGGAAAGCTAAATAAATACAAGTAAATTGTCTACTTGAATGTTTCAAATAACCAAAATATCAAATATATTTTATATTAAATAAAATGTTACAATATGGATGAAAGAATGTTACAGTCATTCAGACCCACTTGTAAATAAAATTGTGATCAAAATACATTTAAATTATATAAATATGCTATAAAATGCTTAGAAACTTGTTGCTGACAAGTGTGTTAAATAGTTTCAATAATATAATAGCAATATAAAACAAACAAACAAAAATAAATAAATAAAATGAGATACCTGTTTTACACAGTGTAAAGTGGTACTTGGTTTAGAAAGCTTTTTTCATCCTTCACCAGTATCTTATATATAGTGCCAATATAGTGGAATATAGTGCCAGACTTTAGTACATTCTGTAGTTTGACAGGCATCATTATGAACTGATTATTCGAACTCACAGACAGACAGACAGACAGACAGACAGACAGACAGACAGTGTATGCCATATATATATATATATATATATATATATATATATATATATATATATATATATATATATATATATATATATATATATATATATATATATATATATTAGCCCCCCTGAATTATTAGCACCCTAGTTTATTTTTTCCCTAATTTATGTTTAAAAGAGGGAAGATTGTTTTAACAGATTTCTAAGCATAACAGTTTTACTAACTCATTTCTAATAACTGATTTATTTTATCTTTGTCATGGTGACAGTAAATAATATTTGACTAGATATTTTTCAAGACTCTTCTATACAGCTTAAAGTGACATTTAAATGCCTAACTAGGTTAATTAGGTTGACTAGGCAGGATAGGGTAATTAGGCAAGCTATTGTGTAATGATGGTTTGTTCTGTAAACTATCGAAAAAAAAAAAAATCTTAAAGGGGCTGAAAACTGTTTAAAAAATTAAAAACTGTTTTTATTCTAGCCAAAATAAAACAAATAGGACTTTCTCCAGAAGAAAAAATACAATCAGACATACTGTGAAAATTTCCTGGGGGGGCTATTAATTCTGACTTCAAATGTCAGAATTAATATCAATTATATATATATATATATATATATATATATTAATATATTTTCACCTGACAATTTGAATATCTCTATTTAGAAAGATTTCATTAATATAGATTGACTGGGATGATCAAGTAATTGTCAATGCAGTGCATCAGCATAAATTATAAGAAATAATAAATTACATGCAAAAATAAATAAATAAACACTGCTTTATGGTTTTCTGGAGAGTCGAACACTATTCAAGTACAGAAGTTGAACAATCAACTGTAAAATAACATAATCATCGTTGCATGAATATTTAAAAAATAATAATAGTTGCACTTAGCATATAATCCTGCCCTGATTCATTCATTCATTTTCTTTCCGGCTTAGTCCCTTTATTAATATGGGGTCGCCACAGTTGAATGAACCGCCAACTATTACAGTTGAAGTCAGAATTATTAGCCCCCTTTTAATTTTTTTTATTTCCCAAATGATGTTTAACAGAGCAAGGAAACTTTCACAGTATGTCAGATAATATTTTTGCTTCTGGTCAAAGTCTTATTTGTTTTATTTCAGCTAGAACAAAAGCAGTTTTAATTTTTTTAAAAGCCATTTTAAGGTCAAAATGATTAGCCCCTTTAAGCTATGTATTTTTTTCTCGATAGTCTACAGAACAAACCATCATTACACAATAACTTCCCAAATAACCCTAACCTGCCTAGTTAACCTAATTAACCTAGTTAAGCATTTAAATGTCACTTTAAGCTGTACAGAAGAGTCTTGAAAAATATCTAGTCAAATATTATTTACTGTCATCATGGCAAGTTATTAGAAATGAGTTATTAAAACTACTATGTTTAGAAATGTGATAAAAATTTCTCTTTCTGTTAAACAGAAATTGGGGAAAAAAATCAAACGGGGGTTAATAATTCAGTAATTCAGGGGGGCTAATATTTCTGACTTCAACTGTATATGTATATATATATATATATATATATATATATATATATATATATATATATATATATATATATATATATATATATATATATATATATATATATATATATAAATATATATATATATTCTAATGGGAAAAAAATGCAAATCATACAAATTTTAGTATTGCATAATACAATGAAATCACCTAAAAATTAATAATAGCAAAAATGTACATTGCATACTTCATTCATTTCCTTTACTGTCAAGAAGCCAAGTGTGCATGCAAAATGAAGCGAGTCAGAGCAGAGGGTTAATAGCTACTGCGCAGCAAAGCTAACTTCTGTTGTCTGATTGTTTTGTTTGATGATATTGCGGTTGTTGTCTGATAGCTTTATGCACCAGACCCATCTGTGAAAAGCACTAGCCTGACCAAACCACAGTCAATATTCAAACTTAACAGGTAGCCTATGCTAATGCTCTTTTTTCCTCAGCTAGGCTATGCTAATCATGAAACAGCATTTTAATTAAAATTATATCTAAAACTCATTATGATTTTATTATAATAGCAATGTATTGCATGTTTGGCTTAGTCATTTTTGGTCCCCTTAACATCACAGCACAAAAGAAAATTCTTTCTGAGAGTTTAAGAAAAAATATTAGCCAAATACCCTTAACTGGGTTAGCAAAATTATCACACAATATTACAATAAAAATAGGCATATAGGCTTAATATTTTAGTTAGGGTATGGTTAAGTTTTTTTTTTTTTTTTAATAATAAAAATAAACATGTATTACCCACTCTCTAGTACAAAACTTGTACGAGTTTCTTTTTGTTAACCATAAAACATGTTTTGATGAATGCTGGTACCCAACAAAAAAGCAAAAAGAGGATGGTCCACACTGACTTCCATTGCAGGTTAAAGGAAGAAAAACAATAGCTTACCAATATTTCTCAAAATATGTTAGTTTTTGTTCTTCAGAAAGAAACTCATGTAGACTTGGTCCAAGTGTAGAAAATGATAACATAATTTTCATTTTTGGGTGAACTAACGACAGATATGACTAGTGAAAAATGTCTTACCTGACTTGGACAGTTAACAAACAGCAACGTTTTTGAAGTGATTATTTGTCTCCATCTGCTGGTCAATGTGGCTAAAGCCCGCGAATCCTCTCCGACACTTTTTATATAGCAGCAGGGGGCGTGGCATATATTTAAACAATTCATCATCATCTTCTCTACCTATGCACTTGTCTCTGCAAACGCAGCAGCTGTTCTCCGCGTTTTCCGTTTGTCTCATCACTGAACATGGATGTTTCAGTTCCTGCTTACGAGTAGTTTGGTGAAAGGTGGCGGCTGATTTGAGGAATCCTGCAAGGTGTTCATGCTGTGCATTTGAAAAGGAGTGTTTGCAAAAGTTGAAGAAAGTTTGAGACGCGCACTGGTAGCGGGAAACACCTTGCGCTTTCGACTCGAGACATCTGGGAAGTGAAGTAGCCGCGGGAAGCAAATACACGTAATTGAAAGAAGGGCTTGCAGGTAAGTTTAGAGTTGTTGCATTTGTGTTTTCTTGTGTGGTGGCACAGGTGTGCGGGGTTCTGAATCACCATCTTTTAAGGTGGCAAACATGAAGGTGATGGAAGTTCCTGTTAACCTTTTCATATTGAGGTAAAGTTGGTTCTATATTCACACAATTTCCCACCGAATGCCATGGTAAAAATGTCAAATTATCACTGAACGTTTATGCGAATATAAAACCACCTTTTCTTTAATCCTGTTTATTACAGTGGACGTCACTTTATGCTAAACAAGATAAAATTATATGTGCAACCGTTGTTATTTGAAATGAATATAAAGGGGTCCCATTACTAAATCATAATGTCTGGATTTTTTCCTTAATGTAAAAAAAGGTGTACTTTACTACAGCAATACAGCTAGGTGTGCTGTACAAACATTAGTAAATCATTGTGGTTATTTTTTCTACGCTTTTTTTTTAAACATGTTCATAATGTTGTGACAAATCTTTTTTTTTTTTTTGTCGGCCAGCAGTGGAATGCTAAAGCAATACATGCTGTCACCTGTCAATCTGATGAATTTTATTTAGTATTATTATTTTTAAATGTATAAAAAAGCTTTTTTGATAAAGGTGGTCTAGAGCTACAGTGCTTTTATATTTATTTGTTTAAAGTAAAAAACAACAACAACTGGTTGTTTCTATGCTTCACAAGCAGTGTCCTTTGTAATAAACTTTAAACTTGAATAACAATCCATGGCCATTATTTATTTTCATATATGAAGTATAATACTAATTTTAACATTTGGGTTGAGCAATATATCGTTTAAGCATCCATATTGCAAAGTGTGAATCTCCAATAGTCACATCACAGGATATGCAATGTGGAGTCAGGATTTAGTTGCATATGTTGGTATTTTTTTGGAGGAATGTCGATATACAATACGGCATTTTGCCATAGATGGTTACTTGAGAGTCAAAGCCTTTTTTAAAAACTTTAAAATTTTTTGAGCAAAATATAATTCAAACACAGGAGTTTTCCTCTCTGTTATTATCATCATTAGAATAATCATTCTTATATTGTGTTTTGTTGAAAGAGTAGCTAACAGCGAGATATTAAAATAGAAAAAGGAAATGTTTGGTGGACAAATGCATACGTTTTATTTGACTATTTTTAAGTTTTAATAATCGTTTAAACCACTAACCGTTTGTACACTAGGCACACACACAAATCAAATCACGTCTTCCAATTAAGGGGCTAAAGTAAATAAATCAATTAAACAGAATAAATAAATAAATACAATGATTAGAATCTAATCTGAATTGAAGTCAATATGCAATAACAGACCAGAACGCAGAGCTAAATGTGATATAAAGTAAACGTAGAGAATGTCCTGTAATGAATACTAAACTTATAACCAGTGAATATGTGGTGGTTTCACTTTCAAAATGTGGTATAAATTCATCCCATTTGAGGTTTTTAATTAACACATTCAGGTGCTTGTCAATTTGACAAGACTTCTATGTTTGTTTTTGCTGTCAATTGCGGAAGAGAGGGGAGTTGGATTTGTCCGGGGAGTCAAATTTCGATACAATATTGGCACTGCATGTCCCTCCATGACGTGATGGGTCGTTCTTGAACTATTCGTTCAAATTGAACAAATCTTTTGTATGACTCCGGGAGTAAATTTGTACATGCGCTCATTTGTGCAAGTGAAGCTCGCGTGGTACCTTAGAGTCTGTTTCTCGCAGAATGCGCACGTGTGGCCTCAAACCATATTGATATGAAAGATATTGGATAACCCCGCATCGAGTTGGGGAGTCATATCGATATATCCCCAGAACTCGATATACCGTCCAGCCCTAGTGGGTTTTAAGGCTTGTGACTGTGTACGCATTTTGTGTTCGCGAGTTTAAAGCACTTGGCAACAAAGAATATTAATTTAATTATTTGTATAATTAAGACTATAGAACTTTGTTATACATTTGATTACTTTATTTCTGTTGCAGAATATTGTTAGACTTAAAAATTTATATTGTTGCTTTACTTTAGTTATCTGTTCTGGTAATTAGTTATTATATTTTTGGCAAAATCACAAAATCATTCCAATCAATATAAAAGTGTTATTTATTTCTAAATAGAGCTGTTCAAGATATTTGGTGAAATATCGCAATAAAAATATCGCAATGTAAGTTTCTTTTTTTTTACCTATATCGTACAGCCCTAATTAACATTTATTCATTCATTTTCTTTTCAGCTTTTATTAATCAGGAGTTGCCACAGTGGTATGAACCACATCCAGCAAATGTTTTACACAGGGGATGACCTTCCAGCCACAACCCAACACTCGAAAACACCTATACACTCTTATATTCACTAAGGCCAATTTAGTTTATTCAATTCACCTATACCTGCATGTCTTCGGACTCTGGGGGAAACCGGAGCACCCGGAAGCACGGGAAGCATGGGAAGAACATGCGAACTCCACACAGAAACACCAACTGGCTCGAACCAGTGACCCTCTTGCTGTGAGGCGATTGTGCTCTTCACTGCACCACCGTGCTGCCCCTAATAAAAAAAAAATATATATATAATAATTAAATATAATTTAATGTTAATTGTATTAGCAATTTAGTCATATATTTGTGTTTAGGTATTAAAATGTATATCTAAATGGATTCATGCTCATATTTTTTTTCTTTTGAACTGTTCTCAGGTGTGATTGGAGTGGCGATGGAGTGGCGTCAGCAGTCTTCATTCAGCTGTGAGCTTGCATTCCAGGAGGCTCAAAGGTGGATTGAGGTAATGACAAATTTTTTAAATTACCCAACTGATATTGTGGTTACCCAACTGATTCATACATGTTTCAGAATGCACAGAGCACACAGTACAGAATAGCGATGTGCATGAGTGTCGGTGCTCTTAGGAAATTATCTTTTTTTCTTTTTCCCTAATGCCATTTAGGGGACCAAATATATGGAAACATTCTTGATAATATTCAGTGCTGAATGTTTTAGCAGCTTAAGATAACCTGGACTGTTTGAGGTTGCCCTCAGTTATCATTTCTAAAGCATTTGCATAAGTAGTTAAATATGATTAGCTCCATAAAATACTAGATATCATGCTTCTTGTTTGAATAATGATGTAATATTTAGTTTGTTTTTGTCAAGGTGGCTTTGTTACATTCAGCTTGTAGTTCATCTTGCAGCAAGATGCTACTTTGTGTGCAGATTTTTATTAGAAAGTAATGTGATTAATGTATTTTGGAAACATTTGAGCTGCTTAATGTTTTTGTGGAAGCCATGACACATTTAGATTTTTTTTTTTTTTCAACACTAGAAATTGTAATAGAACGTTGCAAAAATAAATAAATAATTATTGAATGATAACGTACTGTACTGTATGTTATAAAAGATCTAGTGGTAGTCTAGTCGTATATGTTTAGCCTTGCATGGCAAACATTTTCTACTTTTCAACAGACTGCACTGAAGATCTAACCACAGTTTCCTGAAGAGATGTCACTCTTTTCCTCAGCCACCTAGAAAGGTGCTACTTTTTTGCTTGCATGCTGTTGCATGTGTAGCCATGTTTGTGTAGCCATATTTAATAACTCTTATCTATTATCATTGTTAATAGCCACGTAATGCATTGTATGAGTTAAAATAATAGTAAAATTGTATACACTTGCATATTAGAACAATAGGTAAAGATTATTAAGTTTCCGACTGTAATTATTATAAAAATGTATTTGGAATAGTAATACATTGCTACACAGGTAAAAGACCTCTCAAAATTTGCAGCTCCATGTAAAGAAATGATTAACAAAATCTACAGTATCATTTTTATTGCACATTTGTTGTTTAAGATAATAAAAACATTTTTAAAAAGCAATATGTATAAAATAAAGATTCAATTTGAATGTATTGAATTTTCTAATTACACTATTATAATTATTTTTTAAGGAAACCACTGCTTTATATCTTCAAATATTTATGTATAAACTATATTACATAAATATGAGAACATTAAAGGGTAGCTAAATCTGCAACATGACTCATCACAATGTCCTTTTCTGCAATATCTGAACATATGTTCTGTGCATAATTGTTCACAGATATCTAGTCCTTAAACACAAAAAAAGAATAAAACTACTATTGCACTGTTGTCTACCCGATATTTTTAACCACATTATTACTTTCTAATGTTGGCTTCATCTTTTTCCCCTTTTTAGCTTTCTGATCAACTTAAGTCAGATTTATTAGTGTAGTGAATAATCTGATTTCATTAATTGTCTCAGGGGATTTTTCATTCAGTAGGTGTAATATTCATTGATATTAATTATTTAAATTCTTATATTCATTCAATGACAATCCTACCTGCCCATTCTAGTGTGTTGGTTTAAAGGGCCATGAAACCCCTCGTTTCAGCAGGATGTTTTCACACCTCTAGTTTGGAAAAAGTTATGAAAGTGGGGGTGTCTAGTTTTGTTTGGGTGGGAGTGTCGGGGGAGGAAAAATGGACAGGGTTTGAATAAAATGAGCAGGGTTTGAATAAAAATGGGAGTTGCCATTTGGGCACGTGCTTCTGACCGAGTACAAACAAACACACACGGAGGGGAGACGGTGTGTTTAATGACGGTGGAATGTTTGATACCGCACGTCGTATAAGAGAAAAAAAAGCCTCTGCATTTCTCTGTAACTCAGATGCACTCAGGAGGTCAGAAAGCCGTGTGTGTAGACTATCCTGTCACAAAATGCGGCGAAAATTCAACACGACGGTCGACAAAAGTTTGCTTAGTGTTCACTTGTTTACACGCAGAGAGCACCATTTACAGATCTTTCAATATTGTAGTGATATTAACGTACTGTAAACTAAGTAACTTAGAAATCATTTTGACTAAGGTCTGTCTGTAAACACTGAAAGAGTACAGCTGACTATACGAACTATAACTTTGCCATCTGAATGAACAAAGAAAGGGCGCTGATCGCACACACTTACCGAATCTGTAGACAGGATAATCACCACATACTGGAGCTGCATCTTTTTTAAAGGAGACGAGCAGCAAATCCGGATCTCACCATAGATGAGAAATGCTCTCGAGTAAAAAATGTTCCAAACAAACGCATTTCTGCCACGCCTCGCACTGTTTCAGGTACAGTCTAAGAAAGCTAGCATGCATATTAATGAAGTTGCAGCGCATTCATAATAGAGTGCTGATGGTTTGAACCAAGCCATACTCATGAATGAATGCAACGCACTCAGAGACATAATACGGGACGCCTTGGTACAGATGTACAGTGCACACGCTGGAATACACGCTATTATCTCATGGCTGTGGTGCAGCTTCAAAAATTAGTTTCAAACCGGAAGTACGAATTTGCGAAATAACGCAAAAACAATCAATTTTCACTTTTTAGTGAGATATACGTGTCCTAATAGTGTTTTTAGCAGTGTGGGACACGTATACGACTGTCAACAGCTCAAAAAATGAGTTTTGGTGTTTCGTGACCCTAATGACTGGTGCTAGGTAACGTTTTGGGGCCTGGCTCTTCACTGCAGCAAACTGGATTAGACTGGACTGCTGCTAAAGAGCAACTGTACAAAAAAAAAAGAAAAATTGATACATAAATCATAGTGTGCAGACATTGTTTTGCACTGCTCCTAGCTAGCTTAATGTTAATTTACCGGCTGTTTCATCGTCTTCATGTGTTGTTGTACTCTCGCTGCTACTGGCTTTAACAAAATAATGTACTCCGCTTAGTACATTTGCCCTCATCAGTTTCTAGAGCTTTTATAATGAATAAAATAAGTTAGGTAATAGAAGAAAAAAAATAGATAAGTGAATAAACGTACACCTGCTGTGAGTGTAGGCAGACACTGGCCCCGAATTCACCTGGTCCTGCTGATTAGCCAATCCGGGCCTGCATTTGATAGACATACTGCGAGTGATGTCTTGGCTTCCGAATTAGTTTTGTTATATTTAAACAAGGTACACTAAGTAGATAAAGCATTTGTTTTAACAGCACTAACGAATTGTGCTGTTTTTGAGCATTTTGAGCAAGATGGGGTGGAGAGTGACGTCACATCACACTATCAAGCATTACTGTTTAATATCTCACACACCAAACCTGCTAAATGTGGCACAAATGAATGTCATAGTTTTGGTGATTTATTTGCTTTTATGGCGTTCCAACTTTGAGGTTTTAGTAAAGGTGAAAAAAATAAACTCATTGCCTTTTATAAGTGACAAGTTGACTTGACTTGAAACAAAAAAGTGAGTAAACTTTGTAAATTGGAACTATTACAACGTTACTTGCTACTATTACTTTAAGAGCACCTATTTTACCCCTTTTTCAAGATTTAAGATGAGTCTTTTGTATCTCCAGAATGTGTCTGTATGTAAGGTATCAGCGCAAAACATGGATATCCATTATGTTAATGTACAAAATAAACCAGATTTAACGTCCACAAACCGGGATTAAAGCATCTTCTTTTATAATTGTACTGACATGCGGCTGTGGTGATAAAGACGATAAAATCGCCTGTTGATTATGAACATGCACTGTTTTCAAAACATTTTAAACTTGTAAAACTCATTCTTGATCACATTTGATGATGATTGATCACAACAAGCCGAACAAGTCTTTTAATCCAGGTTGCTTTGCTTATGTCATGACTTGTTAATATGATTATATGCGTTACTACGGAGACATGTTAACACGCGGGTGTCAATCAATTGCAAATATTGTGTCTTAATGGGAAAAAGGACTGCAGTCTAAATGGAGAGAGAATGCAAAATGATGCTAAGTAGTATGCTACTTTTAAAGGTTAGGAACCGCTTATTTACAGTCTAGATAACTAGACCATACACGCACCTATGATATCGAAAATTAACTTAAAATAAATAAAGTAGTGTAATATTTTACAATACAGAGACAAAAATATTGGAATACTGTAAACAATTACTTTCAAAATATGGAACCTAAATATATATAATGTACTATATTTTAGAAAGTAATTTGCAAATGCAACCTATGTACAGCATATCAATAAGTAGATGGCTGTAAGTAGCTGCCAATCATCAACAATAAATAGCGTGATTATTAGATACTACATGTGTTGCTGTTTTTTTGTAAATGTTGAGCAGCAATAATAATCATGTGGAAGTTACTGCTTTTTGCCTTGGCCTGACTTCTAACTTTTTACATGCAGTACAACAAGGCAGAGGACAGTAACTTCAAAACAGGGGTAAAAGGTCAAGTTTAAGGCCAAGATTTTTTTATGGTGATAAATGTCATTATTAAAACATGTCTGACAATTTTCCAATGTCCTATCTATAACTAATTAGTACAATAGTCAGGAAGTGTGAAACACTTTTATGAAGCCGAATTTACATTTTGAAAAAAAACATTTTTACCGATCATAAGACACAATTACATAGGAAAAACAATTTTACTAAAGACGAAACAAATCTACATTTTAGAAAAAAAATAAAATAAGACGCAAAACACTAACCAGTTCTGAAACTAATTTTTATTGACAGATTCGTTACGAAAAAAGGGAATGTACCACACATTGGAAGTGATGCGGTTAAAGGTGTTGTTGTTGTTGATTGTGAGCGTGGCAAATTCGTGCTGTGGAGTACATGGCGTAAATTAAGTTTATGGTGATCAAACATTGAGTGCGGTCGTAGTATATTTTGCCCATTTGTGGCAAAACACATGAGCAGCTGAACATTGTTTTGCTTTACATGTGGTCTGTGTTTTGTAGTTTCTAAAGGACGAGGACCAGAAGAAAACACC